AAAAAAAAAAAAAAAGAAAAGAACAAAACACGATGATCAAGGGCAGTCAACATCCCTCAAAGATAGACAGCTTGGCATGATGTGCTCCTGATGGAAACATACACGAGAATGCCTATGGAATTTTCTTGTCCAAATTTGAGTTGAATCTGATCAAGCTGTTATATCAAAATACCAATTTAGGAAATACAGAAGGTGGTGGAAGATGCTAAATAATGCCATGGGACACAACGAGCAAAATGCTGACTACAGAAAACAACCAAGCATCTTCAACAACTAAAATGCAAGGAAAAGGGGGTGGGGACAGAGGGAGGAGGAACCCGGAGGCTAAAAGAAACAAACAGCCAATGACAACAGTTGAATCTTATTTGATCCTGATTTCAAGAAACAAATGAAAAGGAACATTTCTGATACCTTTGGGGAGATGTGAACACTGACTCAATATATGAAGGTTAATAAGGAATTATTGTTAATTATTTTAGGTGTGATGGAACTTAAGCTATGTTCGCGAACACTTGTTTAGAAATACAAGCTGAGGCATTCATGGATAAAAAGTTATACTATCGGGAATTTTCTTTAAATTTTTTTTTTTTTTTTCAACGTTTATTTATTTTTGGGACAGAGAGAGACAGAGCATGAACGGGGGAGGGGCAGAGAGAGAGGGAGACACAGAATCGGAAACAGGCTCCAGGCTCCGAGCCATCAGCCCAGAGCCCGACGCGGGGCTCGAACTCACGGACCGCGAGATCGTGACCTGGCTGAAGTCGGACGCTTAACCGACTGCGCCACCCAGGCGCCCCGGGAATTTTCTTTAAAATAACCCAGAGGGGAGGGAGGGGGAGATGTGGAGGGTATAGAAATAAAAGCAAAACTGTCTGCGAGATGCTCATTTTTGAAGCTGGATGATGGATATACAGGGGGTTCACCATACTCTTCTTTCTACTTTATATGTTTGAAGTTTTCCATAATAGAAACTTGGGGAAAACATAAAAGAACACCAGGCTTAAATCCTAAATAGCTACCAAACAAATTGTAAAAATAAGACAAATAGCCAGAGATGGGGGAAAGGACTCCGAGTCTGTTATACTGCACGAATCACACCTTAGATCACGTGCACTGTGTCTCTGGCTTTGTGCTGGCCTGTGCATCTGGGATTCGTCTCAAACCCTAGCTGCAACTCTGCCCAGAGGACATCTGGAGCTGGTCTCCCAAGGGCACAGGTTTCCTCACCTCACAGCTATGCTATGGCTTACAGGGTACAAGGGGCTGTGAATGACTCACTGTAACAGATTTCATAGGATTTCCTGCCGATCGGAAGATCTCATCAACTGATTTTTAACATAGTTAAAAGCCTTGCCACTGTGACTTTTTTTAGGGGGAGATGAAAAGTCGTCCAGAATTTTTAGTGCAGATAATTTTTTTAAATGTTTATTTATTTATTTTGAGAGAGAGAGAGAGAGGATCCCAAGCAGGGTCTGGGCTGTGAGCCCAGAGCCCCTAAGGGCTTGATCTCAAGAACACTGAGATCATGACCTGAGCTGAGATCAAGAGTCGGATGCTTAACCTACTGAGCCATCCATCCAGGCACCCCTAATGTTCTTATACATGTTTCCTTCATTTCTAATGTTCTTATACATGTTTCCTTCATTTAGAAAAGAGATTTTGTGGCAGTGCATGCATGGCTCAGTAGATTAAGAGTCCAACTCTTGGTTTCAGCTCAGGTCATAATGTCATGGTTTCATGAGTTCAAGCCCCATGTCGGTCTCTGGGCTGTCAGTGTGGAGCCTGCTTGGGATTCTCTCTCTCTCCCTGCCCCTACCCCACTCATGCTGCCTCTGCCTCTCTCAAATAAATAAACTTTAAATGAAAAAGAAAGATTTGGGGGCACCTGGGTGGCTCAGTTGGTTGAGAGTCTGACTTCAGCTCAGGTCATGATCTCATGGTTTCTGAGTTTGAGCCCTGCATCAGGCTCTGTGCTTCAGATCCTCTGACCCCTGCCTCTCTGTGCCCTTCCCCCGCTTGTGTGTGGGCTCTCTCTCAAAAAAGAAACATTAAAAAAAAAGAGAGAGATTTTGCTGGTATTTAAGAAAAAAATTATGAGGATATTAATTAATTAAAGTTTAATTTGCTAAAGAACTGTCAGGTGAAGTTTGATGGAGAAAAAAATGAATATTATTCTTAGTTTTAATTTTTCAATAAATTAGTTTTCTCATACAATCTCATTATCTAGCTCTTAATCTTGACCGGACTCTCTAGCTCAAGAGTCACAGAATAAGGAGAACTCACACAGGAAAATAATCTTCTCTTTGCAGTAATATTTCAAGTACAGGGGCTAAATTTTTATTGATAAAAATACCCTGGAAAGACCATCTCATATGTTTTTAATTTGTCATGCACAAACAAGATAAAACTTTGGTGTGTATATATTTTTATTATCTTTTGAGAGACAGAGTATGGGAGAAGGGCAGAGAGAGAATCCCAACAGGCTCCACACTCACAGCACAGAGCCTGACACAGGGCTCAATCCCACAAATCGTGAGATCATGACCTGAGCCAAGAACAAGAGTCAGATGCTCAACTGACTGAGCCACCTGACTCAGGCGCCTGTGAGTGTGTATATTTTACAATAACATGCTCCCTTTATTCTTGCCAATGAAAATGACTCGATGCTAACTCAAGCTTCAAAGGTCTGTGTCCATCTATTTGGAATTATGGACTAATTTATTCATTTGAGAAAAGTGGAAAATGAGACTAGAATACATGTGTGTGTGTGGGTGTGTGTGTATGTATCTATCCATCTATCTATCTATCTATCTACCTACCTATCTATCTATACATCTATACGTATACACATATTCTTGCCAGAAGGATGATGAAAAGTTGTTTTGGGGGGAAAATTTTTAATAGAATACTTACCTCTTCTACCTAAAAAACATTAGTCAGTTTATAAGGAAAATACCTGCCCAGTTTATTAAGATATCTAAGTAACCTAATATATCTAGGTATATAGATGGATGGATACCCAGACCTATGTATCTATAATCTAATATCTAATGGCAGTATGACAAATTGAAACTTGTCACTCAGTGTCCTTTATTGTTTTAAGCTCTGAATTATAATTTAATTTTCAGTTCCTCATTTTCATTGTCCATATTTTGATACACAAGTGCACGAAAATGGTCTTAGCAGATATAGAACTTTCCCATTATCTCAGAAAGTTGTATTGGGCAGTGTTGTTCTAGAATGACACTAAAAACAGTTCCGAAGCAAATGAGAGAGGAATATAATAAGCTTTGTCTTTCTTATTTATTGCCAACTTTCATGATCATTTATATATTTAAGGGACCCTTATATAGGTGCACACACACACACACTCCTTTTTTTTTTTTTAATGTTTATTTGTTTTTGAGAGAGACAGACAGACAGAGAGAGAGAGAGAGAGAGCAAGTGGGAGAGGGGCAGAGAGAGAGGGAGACACGGAATCTGAAGCAGGCTCCAGGCTCTGAGCTGTCAGCGCAGAGCCCGATGCGGGGCTTGAACTAACGAACTGCAAGATCATCACCTGAGCTGAAGTCGGACGTTTAACCCCCTGAGTCACCCAGGCACCCCCACTTTTTTTTAAATGTTTATTTATTTTTGAGAGAGTGAGAACATACACACTCACTTCTGAACACATGTATAAACATTACTTTGACTTATAGTATGTTCTTATTACAATAATATAAGGAAAAGTTATGGAAATTGCCTGGGTTGGTAATGTACCCAGCCAAAAAATTAGCATTAAAAAGTAATTTCTAGTTGGACACATGCCTGGGGATTTGTTAAGAAGCAAATACAAAATGTCTTTGCAGCAATTTGTGTCCCCTCACCCAGGCCACGAGACTCCTGCAGATAAGCTCCCACTGAAGATGATGCACCTAAGGAATCACATGCTGCTCGAGGCAAAAGAACCCACTGAAGTCTTAACTTTGAAATAAGTGAGCAAACAGACAGAATGGGGTTTCTGAAAACCAGGCTCAACGGCATGTGAAGGAGCCATTTAGTTTTCCTACCTTGAATTTTCTTTTGGAGTGAGAGTAACATCACCATCGGATGCGATGTCGATCTCACAGTGCTCCGGCTGTATTCCTATGCCAAAGAGCTGGATGTCCTGGGACGTGTCTGCACCCACCCTGGTATGGTCCTAGTAAAAGATCATGAAAGAAAGGAAAACATCTATACTTACAAGTAACTCAACAAAAATTTATCACAATCAATTTGAATAACCCAATAGAATGACAATATTAAATGAATCAGATACAAGATATTTGGGGTGCTCTAAGTCAAATCTTCCATGACATTTGTACTTATTTATTTATTTTTGAAACAGAGTGAGACAGAGAGAGAACGAGCAGGGGAGAGGCAGAGAGAGAGGGAGGGAGAGAGAATCCCAAGCAGGCTCTGCACTGTCAACATAGAGCCTGATGTGGGGCTCTAACTCATGAACCATGAGATCATAACCTAAGTCAAAATCAAGAGTCAGACACTTAACCAACTGAGCTACCCAGGTGCCTCTATGTTTTTAATTTGAGAGAGAGAGAGAGAGAGAGAGAGAGTTTGAGCACATAAGCAGGGGAGGGGTGGGGGGGAGGGAGAGAAAGAGAGAGAGAGGGAAAATCTCAAGCAAGCTCCATGCTCAGTGCAGAGCCCCACCCAGGGCTCAATCCCACGATCATGGGATCACGACCTGAGCCGAAATCAAGAGTTGGATGCTCAACCAACTGAGCCACCCAGGCGCCCCAGTAGTTGAGTGTTGAATACCAATCCTACATAGAGTGTGGAAGCCTGTGGGCTATAGAATGCAGATGAGCAGGACTTCAAGTACCTCAAACCCCAGACACAGGAGGACTGTGACTCCTGGGGAGGCGGTCCACTGCTCATCCCTTTGTTTCTTTCGTTGCTCTAAAAATCACTGAGTCACCATGATAGTAATATTTCCCTATTCAACAGAAAGCTTGGTCTTTCAAAATTAGGATTTTGGACACAATTCCTTACGCCTTAGTCATGTTCTAAACAAACAGATCTTGAGTCCATTAGTGGGCTTAATAAGTCAGGGACCATCTGCCCCATATTTAGGTCTCTGGGAAAAGTAAAATAGAAAGGATGAGGGAAAACTGAGGCTCCTTTCCTCAATTCTAGCTTATTTTCCATCGCATTTTTTATATTAACTAGGCAGATCAGAATCCTTAACAAGGCACTTATTTAACTTTTTGCAAGTGGGTAATAGCTCTTCATTTAGAGATTTCGGTATGTGGGCAGTTACATAAGCTGCCTTCAAGTCTCCAGGTCTCTAATCCTTGAGAGTTACGTACTGCCACATACATTTATATACTATCATAACTCAGGAATTGTGTGTGTGTGTGTGCATATTTAAAAGGCCCTATGTCTTTTGGGGTACCCCATATCACTGCCCTATCAGGTACCCTATTTCAAACAGATGTCTCATTTTTCACTTTAACAAAATAAACCAACATTTCCAAAAGTGTGATCTGACAGAGAAAGATAAACACCATATGATTTTGCTTTATGTGGAATCTAAACAAACAAACAAACAAGCAAACAAAGAAAAAGCAGAAGCAGACCCATAAATATAGAGAACAAACTGATGGTTTCCAGAGGGGAGGTTTTCACTCTCAACGGTAACCTGACTGCACTATCCCTCCTCTTTCAATGAGGGCTAAGCTGGATACAAAAAGCAAAACCAGGGGCACCTGGGTGGCTCAGTTGGTTAAGCATCCAACTCCTTCTCGGGTCATGATTGCACGGTTCGTGGGTCAGAGCTCCACGTGGGGCTCTGTGCTGACAGCTCGGAGCCCAGAGCCTGCTTTGGATTCTGTCTCTCTGTCTCTCTCTCTCTCTCTCTCTCTGCCCCTCCCCTGCTTGTGGTTTGTCTCTCAAAAATAAATAAAATGTTCAAAAAGCCAAATCATGGGTACAGGCGCCCAGATTCCAATGGGAGTGAGATGTGAATGCATCAGGATTGCAACCATCTACTTATATACTCTCTTACCTTTAAATAATAAACCAGAAGCTCGTTAAGAGCAGGGTCCGCGTTCAGGTTGACTAAGTAGCACTTATCATCTCCCACCTTGATACCCGATGTCTCCAGGGAAATCCCCATACTTTCAAGCTGTCGTTGTCTCTCCTGGGCACAAAAACAGACAAACACAGGGGACTCTATTTGTTGCTCTACTGACAAGACGTATCCATGGAAAGTTTACGTCACTCTTTCTGGGGACAATGCCAATGAAATCACACATCACAACCAAGTTTAGGGAGTCTCTAAAATGCGTGACGTCTTGTGTCCGTGTTAAAAGGGTGCTAAGAGTGAACCAGATACCATCTTCCGTTTAAGGGGTTTATAGTCCAGTTGAGGGGACAAGACCACGTACCTAAATCAGAGGAGAAGAGCCCTGTGTCACTAGAGAGGAACAAGGTACTATGGGGCTTCCAAGGAAGGAGCCCATGATGTATTCAGAGACCAGGAAAGGCTTCAGGAAAAGAATATACTTGCGATGTCTCTTGAAATATAAGAATTCCACAAGAAGAAATGGAAGAGAAGTAAGGTAAGAGCAAGGTGTTGTGAGGGCACAGGGAAGAGTGGGCATATTGCCTGATTTCAGGTGATAATAACCCTAGTAAACGTGGGAAAGTCATGGGAGATGGGGGCAGGAAGTACTGATCTACAACAGCAAGCAAAACAAAGTCCCTTTTGTGCAAACTTATATTCTAGTAGAAAGAGACAGACCATAAAAGAAAAAAAACAAGAAACAAAAAAAAAACCAGACAAGCAAAACAGAATTTCCAGGGATGATAAAGTGCCGTGAAGAAGTACGAAGCAATGGATGAGAGACAGGAAGTCAGCAGTACGTGTGTGGGGTACGTGAGCACGGGTCTGTGTGAGAATAACACCTATGAGAAACATATAAGCAAAAGGCTTGACTAGGTCCCAGTTACTGCTTTCAAGCTACCCGATTGGGATGGGCCAATATTTCCAAGTAGTCAGTGAGATTAAAATGTTCACCAAATGTATAGTGCAGATTCATAAAACACACCCACTCACACACAAGTGCACAATTAGTCCTTGCTTCATATCGTTTCTCAAGTAAAGTTCATACAACATTTCTTACAAGCCCCAAAAATCAAATACACTGGGGAAAAGACCATGATGAGTGGTAGGTTATAAATTCTCGGCCAGTCAGGTAGCACACTTTGCCGGGTGATGTAAAAATCACAAAATAGAAAAGCAGGAAACATTAACAGTGTTTCCTGTAGACCATGCCTGTTCCAGCTCAGTGCTCCTAGCAAATAAATGGACTAAATGGTAGTTGATAAAGGACAACGAAGTTACAGGCTCTAAAAGTGATCTTTGCAGTCTTGGTGAGCAGAAAGAGGTCCTTGAATGGCTTTGGGAGGATGATGAGTGGCTACGCAGAAAAGATGGCAAATGAAAAAGAATCACAAGATTTTAGGCCTAAATTATCGGGCTACCTGTGCGATTTCTTCTGTTTTCCTCAGCTTCTCTTCCCAAGTCACTGTTAGTTCTTTGATCAGCTTTTCAGATTCTTCAAGCTTCTCTTTTAGTTCAGGGGCCTTCATAGCCTTAAAATGAAACCAGAGATATCTGATTTTCTATTTTTTCCCACCATTATTCATAAAACAATCCTTTACTGTGCTTCTGAAGTGGCTATCAACAGTCTGTTGGAAGCAATTAAGTCATACACTGTCAGGGTGGACTTGTACATCTTTATTAATAAAAAGAAATGTAAGAATAAATGGCTGCTACTCTTTAGAGGGGAAAAGGAATACCAGTGCCCTGAATTAAACTGATACAAATCACTACAGAGTAATTTTATCCATCGTACTTAAATTTCACATTTAAAGACCTAAAAGATGCTAAAGTTTGTCTTCAAAACAGAAACGTTGTAACAAAGGTAACTTAAGCACTGTTACCTTTTTTTTTTTTTCCCAGCAAGACAGAGATCAACACACATCATCAATAAACACATCCCAGTGATAACCTACCAGGAAAAGTGAAGATTCTTCTCTTTTATTTTATTTTATTTTAAAATTTTTAGCGTTTTTATTTTATTTTTGAGACAGGGAGAGACAGAGCATGAACAGGGGAGGGTCAGAGAGAGGGAGACACAGAATCTAAAACAGGCTCCAGGCTCTGAGCTGTCAGCACAGAGCCCGACGCAGGGCTCGAACTCACAGACCGCGAGATCATGACCTGAGCCAAAGTTGGACGCTTAACCGACTTGGCCACCCAGGCGCCCCTCTTCTCATTTATTTTAAAATTGGACTCTGGATCATTTAAAACTCCTTTTCTGGGGCGCCTGGGTGGCTTAGTCAGCTAAGCGTCGACTCAGGTCATAATCTCACAGATCGTGGATTCAAGCCCCGCGTCAGGCTCTGTGCTGACAGCTCAGAGCCTGGAGTCTGCTTTGGATTCTGTGTCTCCCTCTCTCTCTGCCCCTCCCCTGCAGTGCTCTGTCTCTCTCTCAAAAATAAATAAACATGAAAAAAAAATTTTTTAATGGATGGTGATAAAAACCTTGTGTATTCATTACTTCCTTGGCAATAAGACATATGGGTAAAAGGGTAGGAATTTCCCTCTGAGTCTGCAGAGTGAGAATAACTAAGGGGTCTAAATACAGATGTATATATGTATAAAGCTTTTTTAAGCTAAGCTTTTACTTGGGGGGCTTTACTTGGCAATGGCATGCTTTGACCCCCTATTGCAACATGAGCCTCCACAAAGTGTAAGCCCATGAACAAGAAAGATGGCAGACTTGGACAAGAGGCCACAGTGGCAATGTTGTGGACTCTCCCTGAGGTACCGAGGTCACAGCGGGAACAGAGTCTGCGAGGGACACTCAGTGCTGGGTATAAGGGGACACCCATGAAAACCCTAGGTGAACCCGCTGTGGCTCCTCTTCTGTTCTCTTTGGCCAGGCATCATTCTACCATCTGGCCTGGATTACATGGTCATGGCAGAAAGGCAGGTTCAGAGACAAGAGGAAAGAAGGAGCTCATCCATGTATGTACTGACTGCAGAACCATTACATTTTCCTCCTAGGATCATGGCTCTTCAAAGTTTATTGGTATTTTTATATTTAAGTTTATTTATTCTTTTAAGAGAGAGAGAGAGAGGGAGTCTGTGAGTGGGGGAGGGGCAGAGAGAGAGACGGGGACAGAGGATCTGAAGCAGGCTGTGTGCTGTCAGCACAGAGCCCAACGTGGGACTCGAACTCACAAACTGTGAGATCATGACCTGAGGTCAGACGCTCAACCGAATGAACCACCCAGGCCCCCCACAGTGTTTTATTTTCCAGGTGTTTTGCTACCTTCTTGGCATCAATGAAAAAGTATGTTTGATGCACTAAATGCTTATAATCATGATAATAACAGGAGGTAGCAACACTTATTGAGCACTTACGATGCACCAGCATGGTGCTAAGCGCTCTCCAGTATCAGTGTTGCACTAGGGGTTAGGGATGAAAACAAGGAATAAAACAAGGCTTCCTGCACTTCCGAAGCCCAAGCTGGAAGAAGACAATGCCTTGTCAGTGCAACTCCATGATCACCAACGAATGGGCAGTTCAGATCCTGGGCTGTGACTCCCTTTCTGTTTGCCTCAATCTCCTATTGATTATCTTTTTGACTAGAGAAGCTGATAGACAAAAAGTATTTCAACAGGGCCTGGTACACAAGTGCTCAAAAAATAATAGTATTACCCTCCACCCCTCCCCGCCCTCGTTTACTACTCTCTCAGAAGGGAGGGGTCAGAAGGGAGTGGTATGAAGGAATGTGAACTCAGCAGCCCTAGGTCCACACCCAAGTGAGGCAGGGGGAAGCACGTGACTTACACTAAGGCACTTACTCGGCCTTCATTTCAGTCCTATTACCTGTTTCAAATGAGCCGGATGCCTCACCCAGTAACTTGCAAAAAGCAATAGCTACTTAGAAGAGGGTGTGATTATTAAAGCTGGGTAAAGCCAAGGAAAGGTGGTAACAATGAGAAATGACCGATTTTGTTTCCTGCCAGGAGCTGATATACATGAAGCAAAATAAAAGATTTCTGAGTTCTTTTCCTAATGTTTCTCTTCCATCATGCTGCCTTCCCTGACTTAAGGAAGAGAGGACATAGAACTAATTTCTCTGAAAACCGCAAGGCCCTATGGGCACAGAGTGTACAATGTTAATAAAAACAACCCATTTGGTTCTTAGGATTTCACACTGGACAAGATCGGTGCCCAAGGGCCAACTGATCTACCAAGGCAAACAATTAGGCAGTAGCAACAACTCACTTTTAGTTGACTGGAGGTTAAGTTCCTAGGACAGACGGCTATATGCTTAGCATACAGAAGATGTCACTTAGAAATGCCGAATGCACGGAGATGACCTAGAACTTCAGTCGACCACATCCTCCCCGACTCAGATACGACACGCCAGGGGATCTCAAAAACAGGGAGCACCAGGCTGATCTTACCTCAGCCTGCGAGAGCTGCTCCTTCAGTTTCTCTACCTCCTCCCGCAGCTCCCGGATGACTTTGGCATTGGGGTCCTCATTCACAATGGCGTGGTTAACGATCCTTTTGGCTCTATCCGCGTATCTCAGGGTGGAGAGGGTCTCCTCATAGTTGTCTGCCGCTGGGCTAATGGTGGCTATCATAGAGGTCTGGCTATTGCCCCCCAAGTTATCCTGCAAAATATTTCCAGCAGCCTCTTAGGAAATGATCCCCATTCTGTGCACAACATGTACGATGGAAGCTGAAGACATGCATATACGACATTCTCTGTGAAGAAAACGTGTTGTGGAAATGGAACCGTATTTCATGAGTCATTTTATGATGAGGTGTGGTTTCTCTATAGTCACAACAACGAACAATGCCTGATGAATAGCGTTATCATGGGGGCAAAAGAGGCAACAGGAATGAGTTTTCATTCTGCATTCCTAGGAATTCGGATTAACAGTATTGGCGGGGGGTGGTGCTGTATCTGGTTAGCTCTGCACACAACTTTCAGCTGCCTCCTCTGAAACAGCCAGGTTTTAGTTGGAAAGGAACACACTAGAACAATGAATTACCTTAAGAAGCCAAGTGAGCACTGAATCTCGATAAGGCACAAATTTGTTTTTACCCTTGCCAGCTGCCTGGTCAGCCAGCGAGGATATAACCAACCCCAAGGTTGTAAGGGATCTGCCAAAAGAAAAGACATTTAGAAATTAGCTTTATGGAATGGTTATGTTGTTTGCATAAAACAATAATCGTTCCAGGCATGAGGGATAAAGTATGCAGAACACCAAGGCCCTAAAGTTGATATAACCAAGTTTACATTAATTTGTCAAGAAGCTAAGAAAAAGAAAAACAGAAAGTAACTCCATTAATTTAAAAGAATGAATTCAGAATCCCTGTAAGAATCGATTCTGTTCAATCACAGGGCCTGTGAGACAGACATTTCAGAACCTGGGAGCATACATTTAAGCGATCATTCTAGGGAATTTTAATTTACTCCAAATATTATGTTGAAAGTCTGAGCCATTTTACTCTTTGGGTAGAATTCGGACCATTCGGGCTCTCATTTTGTTTTCCGTAATAACCACGTAACTTGAAGAGAACCTTTCCCTACATGTTACAGGGTAGATGCCGTTCATCTGTTACAGCTGGCAAGTTTACTTCAGTGTGGAGTTTTTACAGCTGTACAGAACAATGACCCACCCAAGCAGAGGACAGCATATGGCTACTCTTTCAACACCTGCTACAGAGAGCAGCACTGGCGTCCCCCAAGAGCTGGTTAGAAACAAAGGCTCTTGGAAGCCTCCCCAGGCCTACTGAGTCAGAACCAGTGAAAGGCATTTCCAGGTGATTCACAGGCATGCTAAATTTTGAGAGGCCCTGGATGAACAATACCCAAGATGGTACATATATTTAACTGTATAGGCTCAAATCATGATGCTGGGACCAAAAGCACCAGCATGACTTAGGACCTTGTTACAAATGCACGTTCTCAGGCCCCACCCCATCCCAGACCTATAGACACTCGTGGTGGGACCCAGCACTCTGCTTTAACCAGCCCTCCAGGGGACTCTGGTGCAGGCTGGAGTAGTCCCCTGAGCATTCCCTGGACGCTAACACATGTTCTCTGAACCTGGAGAAAAGATCACCACAAAAACAACAGATTTGCGGACTTGAGGGATGAAGAACATCCTACTGTGTCACAGTTAAGTACCAAGTACGCTTTTAAAAGGAAATCCCAAGTTTAGCAGCCAGAAAAGAGAGAACTCCTCAGGAGATCTCCCAGGAGTGCAGGGAAGCTTACATGATATCACAAAGAGAAAATGCTTTGTGAATGGTTAAAAAATTAAATGCTATGACCTATTTATAAAAACAAAAAAGAGCACAATTCAGCAAGTGACCAGAGTTTAGCATGAAGGACTAGATAGCTTTCTAATGTTAACAAGAGACTTCCATTACATGAGTTGAAACAAAGGATATCTCTCACAAAACATAATTGCTCAAAGGTGAGTCACTTGAAAAGTCATTGAAATACAATGCAAACTCAAGAGGCAGAACACGAGCCAGAATTTTAATAATAGCTGTTCCTGCAAAGTGACATAAATACATACATTATAATTGACAGATTCAAAAGTTAAATCCACCCCAAAAGAAAAGAAAACATATGTCCATACAAAAAAACACTCTTGTACAAGAGTGTTCACAGCTGCATTATTCGCAATAGCCACAATGTAGAAACCACCCACATGTCTGTCCACCAAATGATGACTAAAGTGTGGTATGTCCTCACAGTGGACTATATTATTCAGCCACAAGAGAGGATTCTGACAGAAGCTACAACATGGATGAAGCTTGAAAAGTTACGATAAGTGAAAGAAGCCAAACACCAAAGGCCAATGTCCTGGGTTGAATACTGTGTACCCCAAATTCACGATCACCAGAACCTGACATGTAATCTCATTTGGAAATAGGGTTTTTGCAGATGTGATTAGTTAAGAGGAGATGATACTGACTTAAAGACGGCTGTAATCCAATGCCTGGTACCCTTCTAAGACGGCTGTGAAGACACACAGGCAACAGGGGAGCAGGCCATGTGAGAACAGAGGAGAGATGGAAGAGATGCATCTACAAGCCAAGGAAGGTCAAGGAGAGCCAGCCACCACTAGAAGGTGGTAGGACAGAAGCATGCAACAGATTTTCCCTCTGAGCCCCAAGAAGGAACTAGCTCTGCCAATCCCCTGATTTTGCACTTCTGGCCTCCAGAATTGTAACAAAACAAATTTCTGTTGTTGTAAACTACCCAGTTTGTGGTAATCTTTTTTGATAACATTGGGAAACAAATACAGCCACATAATGATTCCATTATTATGAAATACCCAGATGGGGCGCCTGGGTGGCTCGGTCGGTTAAGTGTCCGACTTCGGCTCAGGTCATGATCTCGCGGTCCGTGAGTTCGAGCCCCGCGTCAGGCTCTGTGCTGACCACTCAGAGCCTGGAGCCTGTTTCCGATTCTGTGTCTCCCTCTCTCTCTGCCCCTCCCCTGTTCATGCTCTGTCTCTCTCTGTCTCAAAAATAAATAAACGTTAAAAAAAATTTTTTTTTTAAAAAGAAATACCCAGAATAGGCGAATCTATAGGGATGAAAGCAGTGGTTGCCCAGGGCTGGGGTGGTGTAAATGGGGAATGACTTAGACACAAAGTTTCTCTGGGGATGATGGAAATGTTTTCAAATTCGATCATGATGATGGTTATACATTCTGATAAAAAAGCCACTAAATTGTACATTTTTAAATGGCAAAGTATGTGTATATGAATCATTTCTCAATATAGCTGTTTAAAAAAAAAATTCAAGTTCAGTCACTGCATCACTCCTCCCAAAGGTAACAACTTTAAGAAAGAACATGGCAAAAATAAACTACTGGGACTACATCAAAATAAAAAGTTTTTACACAGAGAAGGAAACAATCAATAAAACTAAAAGACAACTTACTGAATCTCAGAAGGTATTTGCAAATGACATATCCGATAAAGAGTTAGTACCCCAAAAATATAAAGAACTAATATGACTCAACACCCAAAGACAAATAATCCTATTAAAAATGGGCAGAAGACATGAATCGACATTTCTCCAAAGACATACAGATGGCCAACCGACACATGAAAAGATGTTCAACATCATTCACCATCAGGAAAATGCAAATAAAAACTACAATGAAATATCACCTCACATCTGTCAGAATGGCTAAAGTCAACAACACAAGAAACAAACTGGTGAGGATGTGGAGAAAAAGGAACCTTCATGCACTGTTGGTGAGAATGCAAACTAATACAGCCACTGTGGTAAAGAGCATGGAGGTACCTCAAAAAATTAAAAATAGAACTACCCTACGATCCAGTAATCACACTAGTGGATATTTACCTTAAAAATACAATAATACAGGGTGTGCCTGCATGGCTCAGTCAGTTAAGCATCTGGCTTTTGGTTTTGACTCAGGTCATAAGGTCATAGTTCATGGGTTCGAGCCCCGTGTTGGGCTCTGAGCTGACAGTGCAGGGGCCTGCTTGGAATTCTCTCTTTCTCTCTGCCTGCTGCTCCCCGCCCCCCCAATCCCATGCTCTGTGATCTCTCTCAAAATAAATAAATAAACTTTAAAAAATTCAAAGGGATACTATTCAAAGGGATACACGCACCCCTATGTTTACTGCAACATTATCTACAAAAGCCAAATTATAGAAACAGCTCAAGTGTCCATCAGTAAATGAATGGATAAAGAAGATGTGGTATCTACATACAATGGAATATTATTCAGCCATAAAAAGAATGAAATCTTGTCATTTGCAACAACACAGATACAGCTAGAGAGTATAATGCTAAGCAAAATAAGTCAATCTGAGAAAGATAAATACCATATGATCCCACTCATATGTGGAATTTAAGAAACAAAACAAGCAGGGGTGCCCGGGTGGCTCAGCTGGTTAAGCGTACAACTTCTACTCAGGTCATGATCCCACAGTTTGTGGGTTTGAGCCCCATGTCAGGCTCTGTGCTGACAGCTCAGAGCCCGGAGCCTGCTTCGGATTCTGTGTCTCCCTCTCTCTGCCTCTCCCCTGCTTGCAATGTGTGTCTCTCTCTCTCTCAAAAATAAATAAACATTAAAAATTAAAAAAAAAAAAACAAGCAAAGGAAAAAGAGACACAAATCAAGAAATAGACTCTTAAGGCTAGAGAACAAACTGATGGCTACCAGAGGGGAGGGGGCAGGGGGATGGGGGTTCAAGAGTATACTTACCATGATGAAATAAAATTCAATTTAAAAAGTTAAGTAAAGGGGCGCCTGGGTGGCTCAGTAGGTTGAGCTTCCAACTCTTGATTTAGGCCCAGGTCATGATCTCATAGTTCATGGGTTTGAGCCGTGTGCTGACAGCACAGAGCCTGCTTGGGATTCTCTCTCTTCTCTCTCTCTCTCTCTCTCTCTCTCTGTCCCTCCCCCATTCCTTCTCTCCTCTCAATTAATAAATCAACATTAAACAATAAAAATAAAAAAAGATTGTCTCTCATTCTCTCTCTGCCCTTCTCCTGTGCTCTCTCTCCCTCTTTAAAATTAAAAAGAGAGAAAAAAAGAGGAAGGAAGGGAGTGAGGGAGGGAGGAAGGTAAGAAGGAAGGAGTTGAGAAAAGAAAGGCATGTGCTATATATGAAATAGAAGAAAGCAGAAATTTAAGGCAAAAACAAATTTCTGCTTTAATATAGCATATAGGGCATCTTTCACACTTCACAACTATTGAAATAAAATTTTCAGTTGAAAACAATTCTTTGAACGGAACCAGTGTTTAGGACTTAAACACGGCAAAAATTACTTCAATTCATACAGACTATAAAGAGCTCAGTGATTCCAAGGCCCATATTAGCAATTCTAAAGGGAACAGTGGCCCTTGCTAGGAAAACACATTTTGGAGTTATGTATTTTTCATCCAGACAAAATCTAACTCTGCCTTGTGGCAACTGCTCCTACTTTCTAATTTGATAGTGTCAGGAGTGAAAAAAGAAGGGTCTGGGCACTCCTAAACAAGGGCACAAAAAAAATCACACGAGTGCTTTGAGAGAAAACGGGGAAGGGTAGCACGATGTCATCAACGTCTACAGGACCATGTGCGCGTGCGCTGAGAGCACCGAGCACGAGCACCGT